ATATTCAGCCCTGCTGTACAGTTTACTGCACTAAGAGAATCTATTTTGAACTCGTCTATATGAAGAACAAGGCAGTTATTCTGGATTTACAATAGTGCGGATCAGGAAAGAAAGTGTAACATGATGCTTTCACCACATTAATTTAATTTCACCACAGTAGAAGCAACAAGACACATTTGCTGACTCTTCCATGCACCCTCATTACCATTTTAGCCACTGGGCTGAACAGCTAACCCCGTATTTTCTTGGTGTTCAATGGAAACGGAATGCATATTGGATATTCATAAGATAAAATAATGGGCTATCTGATAAAGTGCATAAAATGAACTGACAACCATGTTTACTCAGAAAGTAAGCAAATCCTATGGAAGTGTGCACAGCTACATAACACCTCTACAGCTGCAGATGATGAGCCTCAGGAAAGGAAGAATAATAAATTGTGGCAATGACCCCTGGCTGTAAGAGTTCATCATACAATGAAACACTGAGCCTTGGACCCAAGGAAGTACAAGGTTCCACCTGCTTCCACAGGAGACTTGATCATTTTCTCCTTTCCAGCTCCAGCCTTTTGCTTTTTATAGGTCAGAGACCCTTCAAAGCAGCTTTCCCCATGGGGCAAAGAGATGCAGCCAGGCAGCAAAATCACTTATATACCATACACAGAAAAAAAGCTTTTCTGAAAGCAGAACCATCTACCCAATCAAGGCTTTGGCAAAAGTCATTCAGTGCTCTCCCATTAAACAGCACCAAGGAACCACACAAATTCCAGAATGACCTCAGGAAACAGCTGAAATGAACTCTGACATGCATGAAGAAGAAAGTCTCTGCCACCTGGTTTCTCTTAAATTGAAGCTACTTGGCAGAAGTATATGAATAGGTTGCATTTCTTTTGGAGAAAATAAACTTCTTAGCAAATGTACACATGATTTTAGTATAGGAAATGGGAAGAACCCAACTCAGTCAGAGCCATGGGCTATTAGGTCCAGCATTCTGTTCAAAGAGTGACTAACCATGTATCTACAGCAGACATGGGCAAACTTCGGGTGAACAGGTATTTTGGACGCAAACACCCACAATTCTGAGAGTTAAAGCCCAAAACACCTGGCGGGCCATAAAGAAGACATTGGTTCAACTGCATTCTTCTCATGTTCTCCAATAACCTTTACTTAGAAGCACATTGTAATAGAAGTAATATATAGCTGTCATGACTATGGGAGTGTCCATGCTGCATGATTACAGGCAATAACCAAGTTATGAACAAGATAGGTTCTGTGGATTTGTTCTTAAGTTGATTTTGCATGTAAGTTGGAACAGGTACATTTTTACAGTGTAACTCCGCATGCGCACACACACACATATAAAGAGAGAGCGCTTTGGTTAGCATAGGGAAGGATTAACACCCCATGTGGTGTTTGTTTTGCTGTCTGTGCTCCTGTTCAGAAGCGTCACCTCACTTTCTGTCCCTTTGAGAATTGGATTTTGAAAATTTGGCTTGTTGTGGAAACAAGGATTGGTGATAAAGCCTCAGTGGAGACACCTTTTCCCCACAATAACTCTTCCAGGAGTGAATTTGCCTTCCGAGCAGTAGATTTCCCTCACTTCCTGTTGTCTTACCTGCTTTGTTAATTGTGGGTTGTTTGTAAGTTGGATACTTGTAACTTGAGGACTGCCTGTATAGCAATTTAATCCCATTTCAACTGCCATGGTTCACTCCTATGGAATCTAGGGATTTATAGTTTGGTGCTGTACTTAGAATTCTCTACTCTAGTCTCTTAAACTTCAGGATTAGAATTCTGGAAGAGAATTCTGAATTACAAAACCTTCTTTTCCTTTCTAGTCATCTTGAAAAAACTTCCACAATAAACACAAAGAAATAATTAAAGCTGTTTGTTTGCCTTGGCATTCATTTATTTATGGTAATGAATGCCAAATTATTCTATCCCCCCCACCCCCGCTTTAGCAAACATCCCATAGTGTGTGTGACAGAAAACAAGTATTTGCTTTTGACTGCTTTAGGGGCGTTATAAAGTCTACACTGCCAAATATGCTTTTTAAAAAGGAGTGTTACAAGCTACAATGTGTTTTTGCACTGTCTATCACAGCCTGTATGTCTCAACTTGGGTTCCCTTCGGGAAACATTTAAAACTGGAAAACACTTAATAAGTACTTCTTTGTGGTCTTTATTACATCTTCATATCCAACCAAGCTGATGAAGTCTAAAACTTCATCTTACCACCCTTTGTTTTATAGTCTATTTGTTGTATAACTTCTATGTTAATTCTAAAGATTTGTCATATATGAGAATATGCTCCTTATCCATAATATACAATTTCTGAAAAAATTGATGGGTGGGGAAGGGAGGCAGTTTAACTCTCCATGGGATCCTGATTAAGCTATTTAGTGCCTCCCAAGTGAATGAATGTCTCCTTTTGCACCATATCCAGATCCCATTAAAGAGAACTTATCTGTTGTAGTAGGTAAGGTAAAGGTAAAGGTTTTCCCCTGACATTAAGTCCAGTCATGTCCGACTCTGGGGTGTGGTGCTCATCTCCATTTCTAAGCCGAAGAGCCGGCATTGTCCGTAGACACCTCCAGGGTCATATGGCCGGTATGGCTGCATGGAGTGCCATTACCTTCCCGCCAGAGTGGTACCTCTTGATCTACTCACATTTGCATGTTTTCGAACTGCTAGGTTGGCAGAAGCTGGGGCTGACAGCGGAAGCTCACGCCGCTCCCCAGAATCTAACCTGTGACCTTTCGGTCAATAAGCTCAGCAACTCAGTGCTTTAACCCACTGTACCACCGGGGGCTCCCTGTTGTAGTAGGTAATATTATTATAAATATTATTATATAAAGTACCGGTACTAGTCAGGCTATGTAAACAACCAGCAATCCAAACTGTTTCCACCATCCCTAAATTTAAACTACTGCATACAATAATATGAACAATAATTGTTACTATTCTGTACAAATTGCTTGGCTGAGCCAGGAAGGTAACCAAAATATTACAGACTACAATCCTGATATTGAAACAATGGCCTACACCTCAAAGTGCGCATGGAATGATTTTCTTTCAAATGGGGTCCAATGGGAGATTGGCTAGTCTTGGGGTTTTAAATGGCAAACACAATGCATGGACACAATTTATTTAAAGTGAACCATTAAATCAGGAGTCTGCATTTTTCAGAAGAATTTAATCGTAAATAATAATGCTAGAAGGATGAATCAAATACTAATGTATCTTCTTGAGGGATAGCTGAACTATGTTTTCATCCCCTTAAATCTTAACCTTTACTTTTAATTAGAAGGGAGACATTTTGCAGCAGGACATAGGATAATATAACTGACAAAATCTCAAATCTTGATTATCCACATTCTGATTAGGTAGCATTGATTTTCTGCCTGTTCTGAATCTGTTGTGATACATGTCATTTAAAATTCATTTTACAGAGTTGTGTAAATTGACCTGGCAAGGCCAAGAGATAGTAGTTTGAGTCTAAACAGGATATCTGCTTTTTTAGGAGCAGCTCTCACAAATCAGGCAAACACCAACCCATGCTTTCCACATTGGTATCTTGTTTCAGTTTGCTATTTGATTCTGAAGGTCTGAAATCCCTTTGTAAAACAAAAGAACAAATATGCACACACAAACCAATTTACTAATGAGAGTTCTCAACTTAAGTATTCCAGTGAAACATGCACACCGGGATTCTAATCATCATCATCATCATCATCATCATCATCATCATCATCATCATCATCATCTTTATTTATACCCCGCCACAATCTCCCCCAACGGGGACTCAGGGTGGCTTACATGAGGCCAGGCCCAAATAACAAATTAGAATAAAATAAAATACAAGTTACAATAAAATAAACAACATTCTTGGTGAATGTTTTATTTTCTTTCAGTGTAGAATGGAAAGAAAAAAATGTATTTTCACATTTGTAAATGTAAGTGAATTTTCATTGTAAAATTAACTGTTAAGACCTGGTATTTTTAATTTTAATAACTACTACTACTACTACTACTACTACTACTACTACTACTACTGTGTCTGCAGAAAATGTCTGGAAGACTGATGAAGATACTACTTAGATATTAAAAAACGTTAACTAAAATTTTTGTAGTACAATCCTATATTGAAAATTCTAACAGTCTATCTTAATTTTTTAGGGCTGACAGCACCTTTTAAAATACATTATACTATCAAGTTCAGATCTAATTATCCCCTTATATTCTTAGAAAAAAATCTAAAGTTTTTCAGTTCTCCAACTGTACAGTGTTTAACAATAATATAACTGTGGAAATGTAACTGAATATACTGAAAATAGATGGTAGGAAGCACTTTTATAGTCTAATAAAGAAAAACGGATGAGGGAAACCAAAGGTTGAAAAGAAAGTTAATTAGAAAACTATTTTCTATATTTTGGCTAATTTTATACTTGGTAATTCAGGTTTTAAACATCTTGGCAGAGGAATTAGCAGGTTGGCCTGCCTTATATAACTGTTTCAATTCTGATATTATGCCACCTTCTGAAAGCCCTGTTATTAACTCCTGTCATGGCTTCTGCAGTCGGTCTCTTGTCAATAACATTTAACTTTGTGGGAGAGGCTTAATGTGATGATTAACAACAACACAATCATGGGAATATCTGCTTCATAGTACTGCTCCTAGACATTGATGATAAAAAAAGGAGGAAGGAGAATGTAATGATGCAGAAAAACACAAGATTGAATTCATTTTTAGCCGATGGAGATCTTCATTTCTCTCTCAAGCATGAAGTAAACAGAGCCATGCCACAAGCCATGCAGTACGAGTGACATGCAGATTTTTAAAATTACGTTTGACAAGAGTTAGTAATAACCAACAGTGCTTTTCAGATGCAAGCATTGTTATACTTGATCTCTGGGGACCTCAGTAGCCAAATGGCATGTAACATTCAGGGGAAAAAACTGTCTTGTGACCGCCGCAAGTCCAGTTTTCATGGCTACCTACCCGTATTGGTCAGGCTGATGCATCATGGGAGCCTGAGCGTTGCCATAGTTGGGGTGCTGTGAAGAAAACATGGGGCGTCCGCCAGCCCCAGACTGGCTGGGATAAGCAGGCGACCTAATGTATGGTGGCCTAAAGCAGAACAAAAGAACAGCTTCTTTGGATTTGTATTAGACCACAAGCATGAACCATCTTGTCAGCTACAATCCTTCTATACAGAAGCATGTAGGGTTCCCACTGCTGGGCAAACAGCCCCATAGTTATCTGTTAGGAACCCAAGAGAAAAATGCTACATTTTCAAACCTCTAGGATTAATAAGGATTCTGTCTATATTCTATTTACATTTTGATAAAGTTCTAATGACTGTACAGTCATCATATACTGTAGGTGTTAGGAGGGGTACTATGGGAGGGCTGAGTTTTCAGATGTTGTACTTTGATTACTGTCAAGTAGGCATTGAAATGTAAGTCCATAAAATGGCTATCAGGTTCAGATTTTGAGTGTGAAAGCAAACAATTATTTGTTTATTTTTCAATCAAGTGCATGATGCAAAATCTATCATGAAAATTACAACAGTGCACTTCGTTTTATTGGCACTTATTAACTTTTAAAATTAAAATTATCTTCTTCCTAAACAACATGGTCTTCCTAAATTCATGAGGTGTCCAGGTTATTTCTCTGAGAGATAGTGGGTGTTTAGCCTATTAAGGTGACACATAACAGCTATTTACTCCCTGAAAAGTAAAAATAAGGTGTCAATTCCCAAAATAATAAAACCTGCTTTCAACCCTCTAATGTATGTTCAAAGGCTCTAATAACATATTGTCTCTTTTCTGATAATCATGAAATTGCATGCATTTCAAGTATAATATTGTAAGATATCAGAGCTTTTTAAAAGTGTGTCCTATTGCATACAATTTCTGGCTATTAATATGTATGTTATCTGTACAAGTTTTTAGTATACACCTATGTATTAACAATGTCACAATTTTGCAAAATAATAATGAAATCCCATTTCCTCTTTAATAATAGTACTAGTGTATTTAACTAAACGGAAACATACACATAAACTAAGAGTCCAAATAAGATGATGTATACATGTTCTCATAAGTGCCTATGGAAAATGAGAGATCCAGGAAGAGGAGATAGAATGTCCATACATTTTCAAAAGCAGAGATTGGAACTCTCTAATCTTGTATATTTTCTTCAAGATTTTGGAAATATTATTCCATATTAATAGCTCTGGTGGAAAAATTTGATTTTATTTGACGAGATGTGGAAAAGTCTCCCTACATGTGACTGCAGGACTAGGCACTAATAATGCAGACTTGAAACCCCACCTTGTTCTCAGGATGGCAAATATAGATTATGCATTCTGGCTAGCTTTAAAATACTGGTCCAACATAAGACTGGCTCACCTTCCATTTGGCAGTAAAATTTGATCAATTTTCTCAAAACATCAAATGAAATCTATGAATCCGACAACATTGCTTCCTTTACCCTCTTCTTCTCAACAACTTATTCTCCCACCTGGCTGTATTTAAATGTACTGAGGTATATGTACTGAGGTAAACCACTGAAGTAAACTTCAGAGCTAGTGTCCTTCTAAAGTCACCTTAAAACTTGGTGGTTGCTTGTCCTTAATATTTTAAGACAGAAAACATGTTTTTAAAACTATCAGTTGCTTTATTTCATAGTCAAGCATATTTTCAGTGGATGCATACCTGCTCTGGGCGGAGTTTGCAGCAGCTTGCATCACTGCTGCAGCCGCCTCCTGTGCCTTACGATTCACAGTTGGCATGGGTGGTCCCATCCCTGGGCCTCCCTGCTGAGACATCCCTGGAGAACTTGGGGTCATGCTGCTCATGTTTCCTGGAAACGACCTGCTCTGCATCCCAGCTGATGGCATTCGTCCCAGGGGCATAGTACCACAAGGTTGGCCCGGCCCCTGTCCATGCATCTGGTTGCTGGCATTAATACCCATGCCAGGTCCCGGGCCACTGTAGCTTGTGTTGGTAATTCCAGAGTATGGTGGCTGTCTGGAGTAGTTTCCTAAAGAGAGTGATACACAAAAGAAGAAAATAAAGTTACAACTTTTGATTGAGTGAAATCTCTTGATGGAAAATTGTATCCAATCCAATAGTTCCAGCCTTGCAAGATGTGTGTTTGTGTAGAACGCCTATTTATCATCCAATTAATATATGCTTGATACTGTGGTTTTCCAGAACTGGGGTTCTATAAGTGATGTTTGCCTCCCTGGACAGCTTGGTGGGAGAACATGGAACCAAGGCAGAGCCTGAGCGGGGACTTCTTGAACCTTGGCTAAAAGAGTGGGGAAAACAGAACCAACATGGGATGAAAGGAAAAGAGCATTTAAGATGAAGTCGTTGGGATGACTGCAGTAGATTGGACTGCTTCTTGGTTTACTGGGGAGCTGGCAGTGATGAAACGGAGGCTAGAGTACTACTGGTGGAAGACTTGGAATGCATCTGATTGAACATGGGCTAGACCCTTGCTTAAGGCCTACTCCATGGCAATGAGGGAAGCCAGGAAGGTTTTCTCGACTGCCCGCATTGCAACTGCAACAAATCGACCAGCAGAGTTATTTCAGGCAGTCAGAGAACTCCTTCATCCTCTTGAGGGGGAGGAGATCCCTGACCATTTGACAACTCAATGTGGCAGGTTTGCACATCATTTTGCAGATGAAGTCACTCGGATATGTTCTGACTTAGATGCCAGTTTTAGAGCAGTACCAAGGGATGTAGCTGAGGCACCTGTCTGTCTGGTTTTAATGGATTTGTTTCAGTTTGTTCAGTCTGATGATGTGGATAAGATCCTTGTAGTGGTGAGAGTGACCACATATGTGCTAGATCCTTGCCCTTCCTGGCTTATCAAGCATGCCAGTGGAGGATTAACTGAGTGGTTTACTAGGATTATAAATGCCTTGTTGGAACGGGGACAAATACCATCAAGTCTAAAAAATGCAATAGTGAGACAAATTTTGAAGAAAGCACCCCTAGATTCTCAGTACTGAATAACTACCAGCCTATTTCTAATCTTCCCTTCCTGGACAAGGTTCTAGAGCAAGTGGTGGCTTCTCAGCTCCAGGGTTTCTTGGATGAAACCAATTATCTTGATCCATCGCAGTCTGGTTTTAAGCCTGGTCACAGTATGGAGATGGCTTTGGTCGCCTTGGTGGATGACCTCTGTAGAGAACTAGACAGGGGGAGTGTGTCCTTGTTGGTTCTTTTGGATATCTCTGTAGCTTTCGATACCATCGACCATGGCTTCCTTCTGGGGCAGCTCTCCAAAATAGTGAGCTGCCCCAGAAGGGGGCATTGCTTTGCAGTGCCTCTGCTCCTTCCTGTAGGATTGCACCCAGTTGGTGAAGCTGGGGGAGACCTGCTCGGACGCCTGGGTACTGACCTGTGGAGACCCACAAGGTTCCATTCTACCCCCCATGCTTTTTAATATCTACATGAAACTCCTGGGGGGCGGTAATCCGGAGTTTTGGAGTTCGGTGTCATCTGTGCACAGATGACATTCAATTCTACTACTCCTTTCCACCAAACTCCAAGAAAGCCCCCCAGATCCTGGACCAGTGTCTAGCAGCAGTGATGGACTGGATGAGGGCTAACAAGCTGAAACTTAATCCAGACAAGACAGAGGTCCTCCTGTTCGGTCATGGGGCCAATCGAGGTATAGGGTGGCAACCTGTGCTTGGTGGGGTTGGACTCCCCCTGAGGACACAGGTCCGCAGTCTGGGGGTCCTCCTGAATTCAGCGCTGACGCTTGATATCCGGGTGTTGGCAGTGGTTGGGAGAACCTTCACACAGTTAAAGCTTGTGTGCCAGCTGTGACTGTACCATGAGATGCCTGATTTGACCATGGTGGTCCATGCCTTGGTCACATCCAGATTGGATTATTGCAATGCACTCTACGTGGGGGCCCCTTTGAAACTGCAACTGGTGCAAGGGTCGGCAGCCAGGCTTCTAACTGGAGCTAATTACAGGGAGTACACAACGTCCCTATTAAAGCAGCTCCACTGACTGCCGATAACTTTCCAGTCCCAATTCAAGGTGCAGGTTATGACCTACAAAGCCCTAAACGGTTCAGGTCCTGCCTATCCTCGTGATTGCTTCTTCCCCTATGAGCTGGGACGAGCTCTAAGATCTGCTGGGGAGGCTCGCCTCTCACTTCCACCAGCATGATAATCATGGCTGGTGGGGACAAGGGAGAGGGCTTTCTCAGTTTTTGGAACACCCTCACCAGAGAGATTAGGCAAGCCCCCACACTGTCCTCCTTTTGTAGAGATTTGAAAATCTGGATGTTCCGGCAAGCAGTCGAGATTGATTCCCTAGTTATACATGCCCAGTCCCTAAATCCTCAGATACTACTCTGTTTTGCACTTCATCCATTTCCCTGGCCCTATGATATGCTATTTGCACTATCCCTTGCCCAGCCCTTTTATTACTTGGTCATGCCTATTTTAGAAATCTTGGTCATTGTTTTTGTTGAACCTGGTCTGATAGACATCCAGTGTAATCTATTCTGTTATGTCTTGTCTGTTTTATCTTGTTTTGTAAAGAAAGAAGGCTGGCTGCATTGGCTAACAGATTCTAGCTACCGTATTCCTAAAACTTGAGTTTCTCAAGCTCTGAAAACAGTTCATATCTTACTGTAGAATTAATCTGCATCATACAAACACTAGCAGAATAAAGCGGTACTAATTATGATACTGCATTTAAGTTAGTTACTTTCAGTTTCCCTTGTTTGGGCCAAATGTGGACTAAGAGTAGTATAGGAAGCACCTGCAAATATAGGTGAATCTTCTTCATGGAAGTGGTTCTGCTTAGTGTAGACTAGGATGACAAGAATATGATAATCATGCAGAAAGAAAAAAAGAATGTTGATTTTTCATCAACAACTAAATAAACAAATACCAGCAACATGTGAGACATAAAGCCAGGAATGAGAAATACAAACTTATTTCCATGTTTCTCTAATAGATTAGTAATTTGCTGGCAATGGCTTTGACAGCAAACAGATGGATGCACCATTAGATACAATGAATGCAGCAGATGCTGAGCCAGTCCCCATCAGCTGGACGTGTCAGGCAGCCAAGTGCAAGGAGCCCACACTTTTCAAGTGGGTACTGGTTGGCACAGCAGCCCTGGAACATTAACAAGCATTCCATTCTCTCTTCAGCCAATGGATTTCAGATTCCAAATCTACTCTACAAATTAGTATTGAATCCAGGAGTTTTGGAGCCTTACATAGAGAAGAAAGGAAAGTTCTGAGCAAGGCGGAATTAGAATAGAAGACAGAAGACATGGAAGACAGCAGGTGCACCAGCTCCCTCTACCAGGAACTGGAACACTTATGTTTGAAAGAAAATGCTTTTGGGTTACTTGATGTATTTATCATGCCCAAGTCATTCATTTTAATACTCAATAGATCTGTGTGACAAGAATCAAACTAGGAAAGAAAACTGAAGTTACTTTAACTTGTCTCAAGGCCACAACTGGAAACACAATCTGAGAATTGCCTTTGCATAAATGTATCTGCCAGGGAATCAAACACATTTAAGATGGCATGTTTATATCAAATTGTATAGAGTATAAGCTGCAAATAAATAATATACATTTATATATTTATATATGTTAAACTGCACATCTATTTGGATCAAGTCTGCTTTCTTGATTGTTCTGTACAGTATTTCGTTTTTGGGCACTAAAGTATACTACATAGACATATTATTTATAATAAAAAATCCAATAAAAAGAAAGTTAGTGCTGCATAGCACTTTTAAACAGATTCTAGATATCAGAGTTCTTGTGAATTCTTGTGAAGTTTTGTTAAATGCTAGCTATACACACTGTTTATTTGCTACAAAGTGTAGGACATTCTCACTTTACCTGTACATTGACGGGAATTCACTGAAGCACACTGACCAGAATTGTGTTTGGGATGTATGAATGGTATGTATGTTGGGACATCATTGCACAATGAATATATTCTCATAGAATTATAGAGACAGAAGGGTCATGCAGGAAGACACATTCAAAGGAGTGCATTCAGATTACAAAACAAGAGATGGCCATCCAATCTCTCTTTAAAAACCTCAAAATAAAAAGATTCCACCACTCTGTGAGGGAGTATATTCCACTGCCAAACAGCTCTTAGAATGAGGAAGTTCTTCCTAATGTTTAGGTGGGATCTCTTGTTTTGTAATCAATGCACGCCTTTGTGTTCTAGCTTCTGGAGCAGCAGAAAACAGATTTGCTTCCTCATCAACAAGAAAGACTTCAAATCATTTAAACATAGCTATCATGTCTCCTCTCTACCTTCTATTCTGTAGACTACACAAGCATAACTCAGTCTAAGACATAGGGCATGGTTTCCAGACTTTTAAACATTTTTGTCAACCTCTTCTGGACATGTTTCACTTTGTCAATATCCTTGAATTGTGGTGCCCAAAACGGTGAGATCTGCCCAAATCAGAATAGAGTGTTACAATTACTTCTTTTGATCATTCTAGACACTATACTCCAATAGCATGGCTACTACAGTCTCTTTGCACATCTTGTTAAATATTGCTGCCACCATTGCACTTCACCTCAAGTGACCAAAATGGTGGGTGCAATACTTTCTTCAGGCTCCCCCAACATTGCTGCTAAATGAGACGAGTGGAGTGGAGTCAAAGAAGGGGAAACATAGTAATTTCTTAGTGGAAATAGATTTTAACAGAATCCTCTACCTTAAAAGTGGCATAACATTAGCAATTAAAACAGTGTTATATTGACGTATTGTTATATTGATGTAGTTATCATGATTACTGTTTTAATTGCTAATGTTGTGCATTTTGTATACTGATTTGGTTGTAAACCGCTCTGAGTCGCCTATGGGCTGAGAGAGAGCGGTATACAAATGAAATAAATAAATAAATAAATCATTTAAATAAAATAATAAAATAAAATAAATATATATTTTATAAGCTATAGATATTCAAGGTCAACATAAACTAAAAGTAGTGTATGCGCAACTATACCTCCTTACTCAATTTGGGTCTTAGGAAATTGAAGTAACTTTTTGAAAAATGGAGACAAAAACATGTAGGATGTCAGATGGCCATTGCGTAGAGCAGACGTTGCCATGAGCCATGCCTTGGCCATTGGGATTGATTTGACATCCTCTTCCTTCTTTGTCCTCCTCCTCCTTGTTTGCTGCTTTCTCTAAATTGGGCCACGAATGATTACTCCAAGCCATAGCAATGGCTACTAGAACCCCCTGTCCAAGCTATGGTTTTAAATTCTGTTTTGGATTATAAACTATGATTTCTGACAGAAGTCTCCAATACCAAGGCCCCTGCATTTAGACTTAAAACTTCCTTGTGCATTGGTTAAGAATGATGAAGCTATTGTTTCAACAAAATCTGGTGATCCTTGTTTGGGAACCACCGGTATACTCTTGACTGCACTTTCCATGTGATAGCAAACTATGGCTATTGTCCAATAAACCATTTTTCCCTTCAGAAAAATTCAGGTGTCCAGATTAGAGTCTCGTTTTCTATAACTGGGGGATTTTCACAAAAGGATAGATACATTTGCATAAGAACATCAAATAAAAATGGAATCTGGAGAAAGAAAAGGCTATCTTTAGATAAATTTTGGAAGTAGCCTTTCAACAAAATCTGGTGATCCAAATTTGGAAGACTTTTTAAACTGACATTAAGGCATTGAATGTTTGCTTTTTTGTATGTTGAAATCCACCCTGAATCCGCTCGGGGAGATAGGATGGAATATAAAGATGATGATGATTATTATTATTAGACTTGGCATTTTCATTTCACATGTATATTTAGTTTTGAATAAAAAGTCTGGTGAAACAGGAATTTTGTAGGGCAGGAACCTGTTTCTCTCCTTTCATATTCTTTGTTCCTCTAGGACCAAATTTTCTGTTAAAGATGTAATGCTAAGGAATACATCTACTATGCTAAGAAGTATGCACGCAGAAGAGGTAAAGAAAAAAAAAGTGGACACATAGACAGTAATTGAGAAGGAATCCAGATTTTTTTCATTATGACAAAAAGTAATTAACAGAAGGTGGAAATAAATCACGTGGGCCCTATACATGCCAGGGGATAAGGGGTGTAGCCTATAATAAATTACAACAAACACTCTGGAAAGTTTAGTGGACCTAAGTAAGATTTAGGAAATGTTATACTCTTTCATTGGAAACCGTGTTCATCCAGATCTAAATTTTTGGACAAGCTTGAAAGACACACAAATCCATAGAGGTGAGCCAATAAAATAACAAATGAAACACTGCAAAAATGAAGGTTTCATATCACTGCCGGAATTTCTTCAAGTATGTCTCTGAAGGCCGATTTAAACATTACAGCTTCCATGCACAGTCTGCTAAAAAGGAGATCTCCTTGGACCACTTACTATGGCAGACTCAACACTTGCTCATTTCTTTCATGCCCTTTTTCTAAGAGACTGTGACAGTTTATGACACCACATCTTAATAGCCTTAGCACAAATAACTGCATCGTCTCCGCCACAGAGGCACATTTTCTGTGACTTCCACTGTTAAGGTGAAGCACACATTGTACGTGTTTTGGCCAAGATAAGAGACAAAAACCTCACTACCTCTGAGAATGCTTGCCATAGATGCAGGCAAAACGTCAAGAGAGAATGCCTCTAGAACATGGCCATATAGTCTGAAAAAACCTACAACAACCCAGTGATTCCGTACATGAAAGCCTTCGACAATAAAGAGACAAAAATATTTTCGATATTATAACGTGACTGGACTGCTCTCAAAGAAGCATCTCTGGCAGCTTTTTCATGGAGCTCTAAATCAGCCCTATGTGGCCATGTTAGAGTGTGCTCTTACTGAGTATTTTCCAAGACATTCACCAAGAATCTGCCATATTAAAAGATTAAATATAAATTAGAATTGCTGTCAGTGTTTCTATTTAAGAAATGATCTTACCTTGTGGTCCATACTGGTTCACCTGAGACCCATATGTGCCACTGGAGTTATTCTGTGGGAAGCTACCAATTCCAGAATGCATTTGGCCTCCAGGGGAAGGATGAGGGGACATGGAAGGCCCAGACGGTTGAGCTGCATATTGAGACAACTGAGTATTTCTCTGGATGCCTGCCATGAAACCTAAAAGAAAACAAACACAACAGAAGGACAGATTAAGGACTAATTCCAACATTAATGTCATTTAAATTTGTTCCTATCACATTCTGTTATAAATTGATAGAGCTGATCTAAGATACTTACAAAGGTATTTGAGTTTTGAAGTGAGACTTTGTGACTACAGTGATAATAAGATGATTTGGATAATGTTCCATGTGAGAAAAAACCTGGAAAATTCAATTTATTCATTTGTCGTGTCACGGCAACCAGTGAATTGTATTACATTTCTAACAGAACAAAACAAACAGACAGACAAAATACAAAATTTGCGAGTTTGGTAGTTGATTAAATGTCCTTTGACCAGTAGCTGGCCACTTGGGAGTGCTTCTGGTGTTGCTGCAAGAAGGTCCTCCATTGTGCATGTGGCAGGGCTCAGGGTGCATTGCAGCAGGTGGTCAGTGGTTTGCTGTTCTCCACACTCGCATGTCGTGGATTCCACTTGGTGGCCCCATTTCTTGAGGTTGGCTCTGCACCTCATGGTGCCAGAGCGCAGTCTGTTCAGCGCCTTCCAAGTCGCCCAGTCTTCTGTGTGCCCAGGGGAGAGTCTCTCATTTGGTATCAGCCATTGGTTGAGGTTCTGGCTTTGAGCCTCCCACTTTTGGATTCTCACTTGCTGAGGTGTTCCAGCGAGTGTCTCTGTAGATCTTAGAAAACTATTTCTAGATTTAAGTCGTTGACGTGCTGGCTGATACCCAAACAGGGGATGAGCTGGAGATGTCTCTGCCTTGGTCCTTTCACTATTGGCTGCTACTTCCCGGCGGATGTCAGGTGGTGAAATACCGGCTAAGCAGTGTAATTTCTCCAGTGGTGTAGGGCGCAGACACCCCATTATAATGCAGCATGTCTCATTAAGAGCCACATCTACTGTTTTAGCATGGTGAGATATGTTCCACACCAGGCATGCATATTCAGCAGCAGAGTAGCATAGTGCAAGGGCAGATGTCTTCACTGTGTCTGGTTGTGATCCCCAGGTTGTTCCAGTCAGCTTTCGTATGATATTGTTTCTAGCACCCACCTTTTACTTGATGTTCAGGCAGTGCTTCTTGTAGGTAAGAGCCCGGTCCAGAGTGACTCCCAGGTAGTTGGGTGCATTGCAATGCTCCAGTGGGATTCCTTCCCAGGTGATCCTCAGAGCTCGGGATACTTGTCTGTTCTTGAGATGAAAAGCACATGTCTGTGTTTTAGATGGGTTGGGATCAGCTGGTTTTCCCTGTAATAGGCAGTAAGAGCACCTAGAATTTTGGAGAGCTTCTGTTCTACCATCTCAAAGCTCCCTGCTTGAGCAGTAATGGCACGATCATCAGCATAGATGAAACTCTCTGTCCCTTCTGGCAGTGGCTGGTCATCCGTGTATATGTTGAACATGGATGGAGCAAGCACGCTCCCCTGAGGCAGGCCATTCTTCTGTTTCCGCCATCTACTTCTCTGGCCCTGGTACTCAACAAAAAAACTCCTGTTTTGTAGCAGGTTTCCTATGAGACGGGTGAGATGGTAGTCCTTTGTGATATTATACATTTTTCTCAGGAGGAGGCGGTGGTTCACAGTATCATAGGCTGCTGACAGGTCTATGATGACAGCTCCTGTGATCTGCTGCCTTTCAAAGCCATCTTCTATGTGCTGAGTCAGGTTCAACACTTGCGATGTGCAGCTTTTGCCTTTCCTGAAGCCAGCTTGCTGTGGGATCAGACATGGGTCTATTTTTTCCGTAATTCTATGCAAAATAAATTTCTCCAGAACTTTGTAGAGGTGGCACAGGGAGACTGGTCTGTAGCTTTTTGGGTCATTATGGTCTTTGCCTGGCTTCAAGATGGCGATTACTCTTGCTTTCCTCCAGATTTTGGGGATCTGACAGGATGCAGTGCAGTTGTTCATCAGCTCCAGCAGCCAGTGCCTTGCTTTTGGGCCAAAGTTCTTGATTTGTTCCATCCGTAGATCATCCAGGCCAGCTGCTTTGCCATTTTTACATTTATTGAGAGCCATGTCCAATTCAGTAGATGTAAAGGGTTCAGAATTGCAAGACATCCGGGCGTCCCCTGGGCAACATCTTTGTAGACGGCTGATTCTCTCGCTCCAGAAGCGACCAGAAGCGACTTGCAACATGCAAGCAAGCAAGCAAGCAAAACAACCAACGGACCTTTTCAGGACCAACCATGACAATAATCTCAATCAACATTGAAGGCATGTCAGCTGCCAAAGAACAACTGCTCTATGAACTGTGCCAAGATAAGAAATGTGATGTGCTGTGTGTCCAAGAAACACACAGGGATGAACAACAGAAACGGCCAAAAGTTCCAGGAATGGTCTTAGTAGCGGAAAGACCACATGCGCAGTATGGAAAATTCAATACTAATTGAAGAATTTATTATTAGAAGTAAAAATAAGATGACAAACCAAAAAAAAATGAAACTGCTTTTAAGGCTGTTATTAAAGGATGCTTTTTATATACTTTATGCAAGTGGTATAAATAGCGGCCAAGATATCCATCCAACATTTAAGGACATGAACATTTGTTATAAATATTCAGTTAAGTACTGATACCCGGTAATTCCACAAAAATTACCCTTGTCATCTTGCTCTTTGTTGTGCAGAGTAAGAGCTGGGAGTCATTAAACTTGCCTGTGCCATAGTAGTTGGCCACAAAGATCACATTTATGTTAACAACCAGCAGTTATAGTGCAAAAAAGCTTAAGCAACAAGATTATTTTATCTATGGCAATTTATGATTTCATTTTGCAGAGGGGAACCAAAGTTGCTATCTTTGATCTTCACTCAGTGCAATATATTTTAAGTGAAATTGTTTGGGTGCTTGTGTCTCACTTTGATCCTGAGAAGAATATTTTGGGAAGGAGAGTTTTTAAGAGCAGAAGCACAGATTCAATCTGCAGTCCTTAGAAAGGCAGGGCCAGGCGATTCTTTGCTACTCTAAGCAATAAACAGGAGACTAACAGGATCAGCGTAAGATTCCAGTGGAATCACTGTTGCTCAAAAACAACTCACTGCTTGATATATGCTGTTTTCAAATCAATCTGCCTCCTGCCCTTTTGAGTTTAGAGTTACAACAACAAGCCTGTCATGGGGGAAATTACTCTTCACAAAGCTCTTAAATAGGGAACTAGTACTAGAAGCACTATGTTCCAGTGTATTGGTTCTGTGGAGAAGGAAATCACATGTCATTGGGACTATATGTCCAAAAGCAAGATTATCTTACAAAAATGTAGTCAGGTAAGTATTTATGTTACATTTCATCTTGTTTCGGTTTTCTCCTTCCTTTCCCCAGAATACATCTTCATGTTTGTAGCAGACATATGCTTTCTTCTCCCAATAAATGTTGAATTTGTTTTACTGTTCCAGTGGAAAAAGTGTAATTTTACTTGTTGTTTCTTTGGGGGTCAAAATTTACAGATGGAAGATAGGATTGGAGATTGAATTGTAAAGGAAACGGGGCACACACACTAGGCAATTAAACACAGAAACGGAAAACACAAGCATGTCTAAGAACGGAAATAGAAGTACCAACTGTCTTAGTATAAACTATTTCACTAACATAAATATTTTGTATGTTTTTTATGTCCAATACAGGAAGAAGTATTTATCAATATGAAAGGTAATCTAATCTCCTAGTACTGCCTCTAACAAGTAAGGCAATTTTAACACTACTTATTGATCCTTTAAATAACAATTGCCTTTTCCAAAGCATCATCAAATATGAGATGGATACAATGAGTTTGATGCATATACTATACAGAGATATGAGTTAAACTGATAAGAACCTCTAAAACACAATAATATGGAGAGTCATATGAAGTGGGTACTGAACTATCCAATCAGATTGCATGAAAAGCTTCCACTGGGTTCATACACTGAAGGTCATTGTGGTTCTTTAACTAACTTTAAGAGGAGAGGGATATGCCAGTTATGAAAGGAGTGCAAAGTGGACTTTATCAAGATTCAAGGATTATATAATAATATTTATAATGCATGGAGCAAACTATTAACAAAACACTATCTTTAAAAATTTTCAAGAGCAGAACAGTCTCTGCCAAGGAGCCAAAGCATTAAAAAATCAATTGGAACAGAATCAAAGAAGCAATGGAAAATGAAAGCAGGGTGCTGTCTTAACTAGCTTCTAATAACAGATCATCTTCCACTTCACAAAAAGTCAAATACTTGATTTTTAAAAGCAGTGGGGGAAAGAAACTATAAATGCCTCTACAAAGAAACCAGGTTAATGTTAGCCCTCCCTCATCATAGTTAATTTGACCAACAGTTCTTCTGATTTCCAGTTGTCTTCCTGTTCTGATGAGCAGTTTCATTAGCTAATATATATTTCAAGGTATTTTTGTGGGTATTTCTTAATTAGAGTAGAGGACTGAGGGTTCAATGGATTACAATAACATACTTTGGGTTGCCTTCCCAATCATTCATTTTTATGTTTGCATCTGCTGTGGTGCACAGAATGACTGGCTTGGTTTTTTGTTTTTGTTTTTTACACCAATTCAACAAAATGTGCTTCTCTACTGCTTGGGTGAAATCAGAGTTACCATATATCCCCAATCACTTTATTTCCAAGGCTGTTGATGCCAATTTTCTTCTTCTCAAAAATGCCTACTTTCCAGTGAGTAGAGCAGTGTGTTCCATTTCTTGTTGATTTTAAAACCTTCCATGTTTACATTCTGTATACTGTCTTTAGTATTTATTTGTTTTCCCATACCTCTTCACAAACTGAATTGCTTTGGTGAAGGCAGAAAATAATGACCTAGCTAAAGCTTTAACCCAGACCCCCTAGTGTTTTACCAGCTGTGCTATTAAGTTAAGTGGCTGAATCTCTCCCACTTCCCTCTCTGAAATGAAAAAAAGACCCCATCTATGTATGGCAAGCAGTGATGTTTACATTTATCCCCTCCCCTTCTTTACCCTCTTCCCGTCTAGCCATGAAATTAATATAATCTATCATTGATAAATTG